CAGGAATGTTATTTTTGCAGATACTGACAATTATTTGGACTCATACTGAGTAATCACGATAACAGACAGTTTTGAAAGGAAGAAAGAAACTCTGATTTTTAGTTAAAAGAACCCACAGTATACAAACACAAAACACCAAACACAGTGGATCCCATCAAAGGCCAGAAAGAAAAACGCCAACTTCCTGGTCCTGTGTTCTCAAATGCCAGAGATGACCAGAATCCTCAGACAAACACAAACAACCCAAAAAAGATGAACAAATGAACCAGATTCCAGATACCCTGTCCTCTGCCACCAACTAATTAATGATCTAGCAATAAAACCACTAATGTGTATCCAATCGACAAAATACAATCTAAGAACCAAAATAAGAAGCAGACTTGGGCAAAAATAAATTTTAGCATATAAGAGCCAAGGGAAGATGAACAGAAAACTCAAAGTGCCCAGGGCTAGACAAGGTACATTTTCAGTTCACTTTTCTATTGATTCCTAAGGTAGGGCTCGGGTAAACAATGTCTTGGTGGAATCTTCAGAAATAAATGGTCCAAGTGTTAATGATTAGGCAGCCTGCTCTTGTATTGAAGAGAAATCAAGCAATAGTTGTTATTTCATCCAACAAAGGCAAACCAGAATTTATATGTGAGGAAAAGAGGGGAAGAGAAGGAGAAAACAAAAACAAAAAAAACCTTGTAGTCAGCCTGGGATAGTGAATGTTTGCACATTTTTGGGGTAAACTGATTAGTTGGCAGTGAGGAGAGGTTAGTCTGATTTGGATCATCAGTCCTTGGGCAGGGTCACTAGGGGTATAGAAAAAAATCCAATTTCAGTTGTTGAAGGACTTGGGAAACCTTATAGTTTGGCTGAAGAGCTTGTGTGATAAGCATGTGCCATTGTCCTATATCTGCACTTCTACCTTAATTAAGCCAGGGCCGCACCTCATTTCTCAGGTAACTTCCAGGTTAGGCAGCCAGTAACTGTGGAGCCGTGTTCCAATGGACGTCTGTCTAGCGCCAGACAGGCCTTAGTATTTTTCCCCGGTATCAAAGAAAACTGCACATTTAGAATCACGGGGTCTTAATGTTAAGTAATCTAAATCACATTGTATCTTACCTCAAATCGTTAAACAACAACAAAAAAACCTGTTTTCCTTGTAACATAAATTTTATTCCTGTAGTCTCCCACTTTTTTACAGAGAAAGCAAAGTTTACTCCTAGGTGCTGAAAATGTGTTCTAGACTTGGATAAATTAAATGGAAAATGCGTTTCTTTCACCTTAAAATCTTCCCCTGGAACAAAGATTAAACTGCTTAAGGGAAGGTGGAACTTGCCAGCTCCCCCCGACCCCCCTTCCCCGCCGCGCGACTACCTGGTTTGGGAAGGTTCTCTCCTGGAGACTTTGTATGCCAAGTTCAATAGCCCCCTTTCTCTTCCCGCCATGTTTCCCCGCCTTTCGGTGCCAGCCCTCAGTTCAACCTCCATGGAACCTTGCCAAGTTGCAAGCATCTCTTAAAGCAGTTCGTCAACCCCGACTGCGTATTACAAACCACCAGCCACCTACGCAGTTAATTTTCATGTTCAGATAGCTGTAGGTCAATTACAGTACATTGATCACTGGGACTCAAAAAATAGCTGACTTTATACTTGGGGTGACCCCCTAATTGCAACGGATAATGGAGAACATTTGACACAACAATGCCAAAACCCAACAACCTTGCAGTGCTTTTAACACTTAATAGGACTTAAATTTCTCTACCTTTGTCTTCTAATTAATGCACAGTACTTTTGCCCAGACTTCCAACTTACAGAAAATAAACAGCGGTTACAACTCTTTGTGGACATGTGGGTGGCTCTTAAAAGAGCCTTTGGGGTTAGGTGAAAAGACGCTTACTTGGCAAGTTTACTTGGAGCTAGTGTACTTGGTGACAGCCTTGGTGCCCTCGGACACGGCGTGCTTGGCCAGCTCCCCGGGCAGCAACAGGCGCACGGCCGTTTGGATCTCCCTGGACGTGATGGTCGAGCGCTTGTTATAATGCGCGAGGCGCGACGCCTCGCCCGCGATGCGCTCGAAGATGTCATTGACGAAGGAGTTCATGATGCCCATGGCCTTGGACGAGATGCCGGTGTCCGGGTGGACCTGCTTCAGCACCTTGTACACGTACACGGAGTAGCTCTCCTTGCGGCTGCGCTTGCGCTTCTTGCCATCCTTCTTCTGCGCTTTGGTCACCGCCTTCTTGGAGCCCTTCTTCGGGGCAGGAACGGACTTGGCTGACTCCGGCATTTTTAAACCTCAAAACACGAAAAATACAATGAAAGTAAAAAGCGGATTTCTGCTATTTATAGGGCCTTTATGCTAATGAAGGATGCAGACTGCGTCTTAGTTAATTGGAAGACAAACAGCAAGGCTGTCATCTATGGGCAGAACTATGCAAATGAGGTATGTAAATAAAGCTTTTCTATTGGCTACTTAGGTGAATCTTGGTACTAACCAATCAGACAATCGGATTTACTCCCCAGGAAATGCCTATAAAAGCAGCAGTGTTCTATCTGCTTTCAGATTTGGTTTGTTTTGAGAAGTACTCTTTTCTTTGTTTATTTCTTTTTTGTCCATTTTGCGATGTCTGGACGTGGCAAGCAAGGTGGTAAGGCTCGAGCTAAAGCGAAGTCTCGCTCTTCGCGGGCCGGTCTCCAGTTTCCCGTGGGCCGAGTGCATCGCCTACTTCGCAAAGGCAACTACGCTGAGCGGGTCGGGGCTGGCGCGCCGGTGTATTTGGCAGCGGTATTGGAGTACTTGACGGCCGAGATACTGGAGTTGGCCGGTAATGCGGCGCGCGACAACAAGAAGACTCGCATCATCCCACGCCACCTGCAGCTGGCCATCCGCAACGATGAGGAGCTTAACAAACTGTTGGGCCGCGTAACCATCGCTCAGGGCGGAGTCTTGCCGAACATCCAGGCGGTGCTGTTGCCTAAGAAGACCGAGAGCCATCACAAGGCCAAGGGCAAGTGATTTGATAGGGATTTGAGTTTCCGGAAGTGCTTTCAAACCCAAAGGCTCTTTTCAGAGCCCCCCACTATTTCAAAGGAAGAGCTAACACCACTTGGAATAGTGCAGAAAAAGGAAGGTAAGTTAATTTTTATCCAAGATAACAAGAAATGGAAGAAAAATCTTTCTAGATCTTTAGGAAAGGCTCTCATTGTTACTAGAAATCTGCCTCTCTGCAGAAAGTGGTAAATCGGTTAAGGTCTAATGATCCACGAGGTGGTTAGGCATTTCAGACAGTCGAGTGATCTGCCTTTAGTCAGTAAAGCCTAAGCACGGTTTAGCTGCAGGAGTGGATATACGGTGGTCTCAAATGAACATGCCGAGTGAAATGGCCAGAACCTCTTAGACGCCTCGTTCTAGGCTGCAGACAACCCGTCTTTCCTAATCCCGCAAGGGAGTTAGGCTCTCTGCTCCCGCTAACTTTCAACGTATCATCTGAAATTTACCACGTACTGAAAGGGGCTTTTGAAAAATTGATTACCTGGAGTTAACATAATGGTAGCTTAGAACAGACTGAATCTAGACTCTAATTGTGGCTTTTCCCCACATTTACAAATTGTGAGATTTGGGGCCAATTTCTAACCTGGTAGTTTTGTTGTATGTAAATTGGGGATAGAGTGATGGTGTTTCCATTGACTTTTTTTTTTTTTTTTTGACAAACCGCTTAACACCCGTAACCTAGATTAGTGCCTGACATTCAACGAACTATAAAGTTAATAGAGGTTCAAACGCCTAGGCTCCTAACGCAGCCCCAAAAGGGATAGAGTAGGGCTGCAGGCCTCCCTAAAATAGTTAACTACCAGGGATCTGGTAAATTAGCTGCTCCAACCCAAAAGTGTCGATCTGGTACTGTGCAAAAATTCCTAGGATCCTATTTTCCGGGATTGAGTCTCATCAAGTAAACATTTCTTCTGCATGACTCAGTTTGTGCTTGGATTAGTAGGCAAGGAGGCTGAGTAGGCCAAAACTTGGGACCTGTGTGGCCCAGGGAGACGCACCGTCATTCAAACACCTCTGGAGCTTCACTGAAGCATTTTGTGTGGCATCAGTTCTTTTGGAGCATTCAGATCCGAGTGTGTGGGGAAAGAGAATCTAAACAGAAGCTGGTTCCCGTGAATGCACTTTTCTCATTCTCATGTTGGCACAGACACTCTGTGGTCTTGAGGCAGCCTCCTCCATCCCTCTCTTCCCCTCCTCCCGCGCATCCCCCTACCCCCCACCCCCACCCCGGCCTTGAAACTACCGGCCAAAGAACCGGGGCTAGAGGGTCTGGGTGTTTGGTGAAGGCAAATTGGCGGAAAAAGAAGTGAGCACCTTGATGGCCGCACGTTAGAATTTCCTTAATTTTTAAGGATAGTCAGAATGAAAATCAGTTTGGGGAAGGTCCGGCCTCACAGCATTTCAGGTAGGGGTCCACTGAGAGGACCGGGTTCTTTACGCCCAGCATTTCTTGTATGTTGGAGAACTTGGATCCTTAGGTTGCAATTGCTTTATATAAGCCTTGGGATACTTTTCATTGACTTTCCAGGTTGCCTTTGAACCCAGCTCCAACACTTAACTAGGTGGGTGACCTTGGGCTAGGTGCTTAACTTCTCCCTGTGTCCATTTCTTCCTGTATGCCTTTGCTTGTCTTGTGATGAAAAGAGTGGGCTCAGAAGTGTGGGTTCTGAAATTAGAACGCGGGGTGCTCGAGTAATGGCCAATACTTAGTAAGCACTTACTGTGTGTCAACATGCTTCCAGCATATTAATTTAACCCAACAATCTTAGAGTTAAGTACTATTCCTATCCCAATTTTAAAGATGAAGAAACAGGAAGACAGCGTAAAAAACTTGTCTAAGCCCCAAGGTCAGGAAGTCAGTACTTCTAACCACTGGCAATTTTATAACCAACTGCTCCCTAAGAGGTTGTCAGAATAATGAAAGGAGTAAAAATTCAATACATAATGGATTTAACTTTGCCCACATACCAGAATGTTACTAATTGTAACCTAAACTCTGTGAAAAATTTAAGAGAAGGAGGAGAGGTAATCTCCCCGGAATCTACATAAAGGGAGGGAGGTAAATCCTGACAGTGTGCTAGCCACATATTTTTATGTTAACCAATACACTTTTGATTTAGTATGTGACAAGTGAAACAAGGGGACAAGTGGGGAGATGGTTTAGTAAAGAACCAAAGGACTTGACAAACTAATTTATTGTGGTAAGTGAAGAAAGGAGTTAGAGAGGACTTGAATTTGAATTCTCCCCTCTGGGCTCCAATAACAAAACTTTGTATTGGATTACTTAAGAGTGAATGATACATCGTGTTAATTTTGTGTGTTTCATTGAGACCTCCTTAAAGTCAAGGACCACATCTTGTTAAATTGTTGATAGTCAGCATAGACCCTGGCATACAATAAACACTTGATAATCAGACATTGAGTAAATGTTGAGCTGTGTCAGTGGTTGGGCCACATTGAGTAAATGTTGAGCTGAGTCAGTGGCTGGGCCATCAGAAAGTACTTTGTTCTAGAGGGTCAGTTTATTACCAGAGGAGACATTAATTACATGCCAGACTAAAGGCTGCTAATAATATCTTCTCTTACTAGTAGAAAATCCCTTCTGAAAAATCCAATTTGCATTGGCAACTTATTTTGGGAGCTTCAAAGAAACACAGAAGGTGCCAATTGATAACCTCTTACCTAAGAGGTACTGCTAAGAGGCTATTCCCCAAGCAGAGGACATTCCTCACAGCTCTGGCCTAGCTTCCCCTCTCCAACATAGTTCTTCACCTCCTACTTTGAAATGTCACTGTTTATATCCAAAAGCCCTAGTTACCACTTGGGAAAATTCTCTAGTGGGCAATAAACTCTCAGTAGCTTTAGTTGGTTTCCAGCCCTTGAGTAGGTCTCCATCTACCATGCCTCAAGGGTCCTGGAGAAGACCATTTAAATTGGGGCAAGTTGATGTGAATCGTAAACACAGGGCTTCCAGTTATTGAAGGCACCTGGGCACCAGGGACAAGATATGTATTAAAGGGGTTTATTGAGATGTGAGGCTGAGACAGAATCATCATTCAATTATATAGCATATTCCGAACAACACAGATCACTTTGATACAGCATCGCCAAATATAAAATCTTTAAAATTTCCAAATAATCTATGCAGCAATATCCTTTCCTTTACTCCATCCATTATCCATTCACATTCTATTTTTTAAATGTATCGTTTGAACTCTTTTTTACAAGTGAGATACATTTTATAACCAGTTGTAAAAAAACATTGTATATTTTAAGGTTAGAAGTAGGTTACCTTCTAGGGGTTTGTCATCTGTTGAGCCTGAATTATAATTATAATTATAAATGTAAATATTTACATATTGCTGTTAAGTATAATGCATGTGGGTTACTAGGAAACATTAGGAATGTAATTGAGGAATCCCCATACATACCAAAATTGAGAATAAGGGCTCACATGTAGCCCCAGTATTCTTCCCTCTCTATTTTATTTCAGTACCTTGATCTTGTAGCAAAATAAGATTAGCATCACCAGGAGATCTACCAAAAGGCAGATCATAGTCTATATTTATACCCATAAAACTGTATCATTAATAAGTAGACAAATTTATGAAAAAACTCAATAAATATAATCATTATAACACCAAAAGAATTTGGAACATAACATGTATACTTTAAAATAAAACAAATTCTAGGACATGGAATTAATGTAGTCATATTGAAAACAATATCAGAAATTCATTGGACTTAATTAGATTACAATTGTTAGTTAAATTGTAGTTTAGGTAGGGTGATAGAACAAGCATCTGTTAAGACTTAGACTTACACATATTACTTATAGTTGAGGTTCTTTCTGAAAGAAGCAAGTGTGCTAAGCTTCAGGGTCTCTGCTGTATGTTGCTTGTCTGCCAGTTGGAGCTTAAACTTTTACCACATTCCTCACTCTCAGCACCAGGCAGCAACAGCTGAGCATGTCTATTATTTCCTGTACTCAGTGATAGCCTGAGTTGAAAGTACAGGCCCTGACTTTACGCCATGACAAATTGCCCTTGCATTCAAAATCTATCTCAAAATGGCTCTATCTCAAAATGCTCTAAATTTTAGAACCTTGGAGCTCAGTACTAGCCCCTGTTTACTCTGTCTCCTTGATGATATTATCAGTACTGTAGTTTCAAAGTCTGTCTATATGCAATAAACTTCCAATTTTACATCTCCAGTCCTGCTGTCTTCCCTGAAATGCAAATGTGTGCATACAAATATTCTACTTGACACCTTCACTTGAAGCCCTAACAGACCTCTCAACCTAAATACGTTCAAGACACAAGAGTTTACATTATGCTTCCTAAGCCTGTTATTCCCTCCAATCCTCCCCAGCTCAGTAAATGACATTACTGTAAGTCCACTTACTCGAGCAAAAATTCTAGGAATGAGCCTTGCTCCCTTGCCTTCATCTCCACAAATCCAAATTATCTGTAAGTCACTTCACCTATACCTTTAATACATATCTTAATTTATTTACCATACTCCTTACCATGACCTGAAGAGCCATCCATGACCACCCTGGCCTCTGCCCACCTCCCTGACTTCATCTCCATCTCCCTGTCCAGCTACACTGATCTCTCTTCCACCTGCCAAGCCCTTTGCTGCTTCAAGACATTTGTACTGTTGGTCTCTTGCTCTGCAGTGCCCATCATCTGATTTTTCTTCTGGCGAGCGTGTTCTCAGCTCTTCTCCAGACAGGCCTATCTGAAATAGACCTACCCAGATGGATTAAAGATCTAAGTATAAAATACAAATACTAGATGAAATTTTAGGGACACACTTTATATAACTTCAGTTTTGTATGTGTGTATTTTGAGGGGGAGGTGTCATTATTAAGCCAGGCAGGAAACACAAATGCTATACAGGAAGGGACACAGACCACATAGGACAAAAGTAAATTTAAGATGCAATATTCCATAAAAAAG